CTATAACAGTGAAAAAAGTTTTTTGTTTTTAAATCCAAGCTATTGTGACACCAGATGTAATTGGTGGCACTGACTGGGGAAATGGGCACTGTGAGCCTGACACAGAAGCTGGCAGCAGTGGCAGACAACTAAGTGCATTTACATTACATAGAAAAATAAAATTAAAAAAAAGCATACCCTTATCCCTAACCTAGCTATGCTTTTCCCTATCTTATGAACAGCAGCTACACTTTCCCTCCTCTTACTAAGCATGCAGCTTGAGAATGAATCTAAAATGGATGCTGTCCAGTAGGTGGGAGGGTCTGCTAGGGAGGCTGTGCTGCTAATTGGCTGGAATGTGTCTGCTGACTGTGAGGTACAGGGTCAAAGTTTACTCAATGATGACGAATAGGGGGCGGGTCGAACCGCGCATATGTTCTCCCGCCGTGGCGAACGCGAACATGCTATGTTCGCCGGGAACCGTTCGCTGGCGAACCGTTCGGTACATCACTAGTCTTCACTTACTACGTACTCACTTTGACATAATTTTATTGCATAGTTACCCGGAAGCAATTGTCATTTATTGAGAACTCATACTGATGCTTACTACTGACTGTCAGTGGTGGAACTAACATAGAGTGCAAGCTGGTGCAAGTTTTTTTTTTGGGTCCCCCCCCTATTGCAAGGCTTGGCAAAAGGTGCCCATCTGTTGTAAAACTCCCACTATGCTTTGCTGGGGATCTACCATTTGCTTACCCTTGCAGCTTTGTATTTAGCACTGAATAGTCATTGTGTGTTTGAATCTAAGCATGTTTTTGTAAAGAGTATGTGTGGCGAAAGTAGGGGTGTGTTTTAATGTAGTGTTGACGTTTGAATGCTTGTGTGTGTTTGTATGTAGTATTGACATTTGAATGCAGTGGTGTATTTGTGTGTAGTGTTGGTGTTTGAATGCACATACATTGCTACACACATACAAACTCTGACACACATGCAGATACACAGACACACAGATACACACACTGACACACAGGCATTTTCAAATTTACAGACACATAGATACACATGCAGATAAACAGACACACAGCTACAAGCACTGACACTTACAGATACATAGACACAAAGATACACACACTGACAAATATTCAGATACATAGACACACAGATACAAACACTGATACACATGCAGATAGACAGACAGATACACACATGCAGATACACATATATACACACTGATGTATATGTGGATACACAGAAACACATACAGGCACATACACAGATACAAACACTGACACAGATACAAACCACAGATATAGGTACTGGCATATATGCAAATATACAGAAACACACACTGACAAGCAGATACAAACACTGAAACACATGATGATCAAAAATTACACTTTTGTAGCCATCCTCCACTTTCCTACCTTTTGTGTGCGGGAGGGTGACTTCCCTGGGGTCAGTTAGCTGGCTAAAGCTGTTAGGAGTCAGAGGTTGGCTGGCTCTCTCAGTTCTCTACTCTTTCTCTCTGCCTTCTTCTCCTGCTCTTCCTCCCGTGTGACTCGGACTCTCTTAGATGCGAGGGAGGGACAGGCTCTCACTTCCTCCTAAAGGGTCCGGTCGCGTTGTTAAATCCTGCAGTGCGCATCCGAGTTGCTAATGATACATGCCCATCGGGTGGCCCTAAGTGCATGGGCCATCCGATAGGTCTCTTCTGCTTGCACAGGCGGTAGTTCTGCTGCTGCTCACTGAATCATTTCTTGATTACTACACACTCACTGAATCAAGCCTTACTATAGTTCACTGAGGCAGTTCTCACTTATTGCACACTCATACTGATGCAGTTTTCACCAAATGTTTAATGCCCATAACACTGCATACTCACACTCTGTTCTCATTCACTTAAACCTTCACTAATACTCGCAGTTCTTATTTCTACACTGCATACTTAGCATAACATATTTCTCTCTTACTGCATACTATGAGAAAGCCATTCCAATTTATTGCATACTCACAGTGACACAGTTTTCTAATTTCCTACACCTGACCTACTTCTTATGGCATGCTGTTACCTGTGCAGTTTTCGCATGCATTGCTGTCTCCCTTACTCTTTTTTCCTCTGCTGCTCTTCTAGTGTTGATTTCCGGCAGACAGCATGGTGAATGGTGGTTTTGTGCACTCATTCCCATGCAGCAACGCCCTACTAATGGAACTGGAATAGGCATCTATTTTTACGTTTTCTGATGGGTTTCAACAAGCATTTCAAAACTAAAATGTCATGTTCCTATCGAGTGATATTTATTTAAACTATTTTAGCTTTTATAATTGTTCAGTTGTAAAAAGTAAAAATGGAGAGAACATATAGTAATCATCTTTTAGCGAGTTGTAAAGGATGATGAGATTGATGAAAAGTCCAATTAAGGAAAGGAACAGTTTCACAAAAGTATAAACATGTAATCAAATAAAAAGGCACAGATTATAGGACTATATTCCCTGCTGATTGAGAGATTTAATTTGGCATTCACAGAGTATACTTTGTGTATGCTTGACGTTATTATAGATGAAACACAATGAAAATATTATTATTTGTAAAGTCCACAGCAATTTAGGTAGAGAAAACTGATTATATCAAACTACTTTCGACTAATGAGTGCTTACATCATGTACAAGAGCAGAATACAGATTGTTTACAATATTCTGTGCCTACTTTCAGAACATTAAAGTTGATCCTTCACCTTTGAGTTTTTTTTGTCTAATTGCATTTAACTTCAGAAGATACTTTTTGCCTTAATTTTTCAAACAGATAATGGTTTTCAAGATATGAATAACTAGTTTACCTCTTCGGTACCAACTGAAATTCATGTATAAATATTTGTGTTTTGGCTTTCAATTTGAATTGGAATGCAATGCAAAACTAAGTTTAGCTCATTAAGCATCACACACCTTTTTGAATCAAAAATATGAATTTTAGAGAGTAGAGTAAACAAAGTAGGGACAGTAGTGCACTAAATGAAGGTTCACTAATCACTAAAATGCATGTAAATATTTATTAAATGTAGTAAAGTACACAATAATAATAATAATAATACTATTATAGAATAAGCCAATGTTACAAATTAACGTTGGCACAACCTCCAATGTTAACTGTGATGGTAGTCACCATCACTGGGGGCTGAAGATGTACACTTTATGTAGGTCCTCAGATTACTCCTATGTTTTAATCACCCATTATAGGTACAGGGTGTGTAATGTATTTGTTTGTTAGGTATTCTCCTCCCCTTAGAATCCTGTTCCGCAACTAAACTCATCCTGGGGATATGAACCAGCTGTGGAATGCTTAGTGTCAATCAGTACGTAAAGGGATTCACCCTGCCGCTGGGGAGAGAGACAGACCGTCTCCTCTCCCGGTAGCTGGGGATCTGGGCCAGCTGCCCAGCATCCCTGTAGGGCCGGTAGAGAGACCCTGGTCCCATCTCTACCTGCCGTCTGGAGATCTTCTCAGCTGAAGGGTGGTAGATCTAGTTCTGCCTGTCGGATAGATTGGAGCCGAATTAAGCGGAGCAGGTGTTGGTAGTTCTGCTCCAGCTCCCACTCCATTGTTACCAGGTGAGTCATGTCTTGTCTCACCTCGCTGGCATCAGCCCAAATATGCATGCCCACCCTGTAGTCATAGATGTCCCAGAATCTCCTCCGTGCTGCCCGAAATCAATGTCTTCCTCCACGGCATCCTAAAGTAGACCAGGGCCATCGAAATTGTGACCTTCGGGCCAGTCGTGCTCGGCCGTCCAGGGCGTCTGCCGAACCGTATACCACCATAGGGCCTGATAGGCGTTGTCTAGCCAAAAATCCTGCCATACCCGGTGCTCGAGCTCCTTCACCCACTCCTCCCGGGGCTGTTCTCCCAAGAGACACATTTGCATCGCCAGACGCTTCTGTAGCCACTGCTCATCACTGGGGAGACTTACCGTGCCGACGCTGTATGTCCTCCAGGGCCTCGTACCAAATCTCCTTTCGAGTGGCATCTCTCCAGTCCAGTATGCCCTCCTCTGATACAGGCCCATCCTGTTGGGCCAAGTGTTGCTGCAACCTCCAGAGAAACCTCTCCTTGTCATGGAACGCTGTCTGGAAACTAGCCGATTCCATACTGCTGTAGCCAGGGGCACTGTACGGATACTAGTGTTGCCCTCAATTAGAGTTCATACGATACTGGTGTCTCCAAGCTGCTTTTCCTTGCACTAGGACACCATCCCACCGCTGCCACCACTGTAACAGAACACCTGGCACCCCGACTGGGTACCTTCCATCAGGGCTGCCATCAGAAATGTTTGGGCCCCTGACACAGCTCAAGGTCTGGGCCCCCCGGTGCCTGCACCCGAGTCCGCCCAAAGTGCTGTCCCCCCCCCGAATCCGCCCACAGGGATGCAGTGTCTACAGGGCCGGTGCAAGGATTTTTGCCGCCCTAGGCAAAAGTAAAGTTTGCCGCCCCCCCATGTGACATCACAATGCCCCACCCATATGATCTGCCATGTTAACTAACACCAGTGCTGCAGTGCCGCCGTGTTTACATTAAAAGGCCTGCAGGGACAGGCTAGACACCAGAACCACTACATTAAGCTGCAGTGGTTCTGGGGACTATAGTGTCCCTTTAATGTGAGGTAAATTAGAGATTAGTGCCACGAATAATATACTAGATTGCCTACTTACAACCAGATGAGGATGATGATGGGCTCTAGCTGCCGTCTGGCTCCACTGGTCTGGTGTACAACAGGCTCTCTGGAGGCGGTTTGTAACTGGTCACAAAAATCACTGTTCTGGGAGAACGGGAAGCAGCTCCATTTTTTTGAGGGCCCTTTACACAGCTCAATGTCTGGGTCCCAGGGTCCACCTTCATGTTCCACCAATGAGTTTGTTCACAGGGAGTGGAGTGTGTGTGTGTGTGTGGGGGATGTCCTGATGTGTGTAAGGAATGCATTGTGTGAATCTGTGTAAGGGCTGCAAGATGAGTTTGTGTATGTATGGGATGCAGTGTGTGCGTCTGTAAGGGATGCATTGAGTGTGTGTAAGGGGTGCATTGTGTGTTGCTGTGTGTAAGGGATGCATTGCTTGTGTACGTGTATCTGTGTGTAATGCATTGTGTGTTTTTCTGTGTGCAAGGGGTGCATTGTGTGTGATGGATGTCAATCTCTCCCCCTCCCCCCGTCAATTTCCTTCTCCCCCCTCTCCCTCCAATTTCCTTCTTCTCCCCCTCCCTCTCCAATTTCCTTCTTCCCCCTCCAATTTCCTTCTTCTCCTCCTCCCTCTCATTTCCTTCCTCTCCCCGTCTCTCAAATTTCCTTCCTCTCCCCCCGTCCCTCAAATTTCCTTCCTCTCTCCCTGCCTCAAATTTCCTTCCTCTCCCTCCTCCCCCTCAAATTTAATTCCTCTCCCCCTCCCTCAAATTTAATTTCTCCCTTCTCCCCCTCAAATTTCATTTCCCCATTTCTTCCTTTCTCTCTCCTCCAAATTTCATTCCTTCCTTCCTCCCATTCCATTCCTTCCCCTTTATTTCCATTTCCTTTTCCCCATTTCATTCTTTTTCCATTTTTCCGTTCCCTATTTTGTTCCTTCTCTTCCTCCCTTCCCTCCCTATTTCATTCCTACTACTACTCCCCTGACACTGACATGGCTGGACGAAGGTTCTGTCTTTCAGCGTACTGATGCCGGAGCCGAAGATGACTCATCTTCCGGCTCCGGCATCAGTACGGTGTGCGAGGGAGCTGAAGAGGAAGCACACAGAGAGTGCTCCCTCGCGCGCCGGCCCGCCGGGTGTCAGCAGGGCCAGCCTCTGGGGGGCCCTGAGGTGACCGGCTGCTGGGCCCCCCAGGAGAAGAGGCTGGCCCTGTGGGTACATACCGGGTCGCAGGGCTCCCTGCGACCCGGTATGTACCCACTGAATCTGGGGCCCGGACGACCTGAGCAGTCCGGGCCCCCCAGGACCGCCGGGCCCATGACAACCGTTATGGTTGTCATACCCTGATGGCGGCCCTGCCTTCCATTGACGGATGCTCCTAGTGCTTCCCGAGGGCTCTAAGCCCTCCACCAGACACCATAACCACCGCAGACCACATGAACTGCCGCAGCTTAGTTGGGGTCTCACCGTTTCCACGCACTCTGGACCCAATACCAGGGTCCAGCTTCCAGTAGGTAGACCTCTCTTAAATCCAGAGAGCAGGAACAGGAACAAGCTCTTACCAGAGCTTAGTGATCATACCCTGGGGAGTATAGTGATTATAGCAATCCACAGAGTGTAGTTCTCCAATCCCCCAAACATGAGCTGAAACTTCATGAAGGTACAATATGATCTGTTTTATTGAGCACAAAGGCTTTTCTTTTATACACATTTTCAGGCCAGAGGCAGACCCCCTGGACCTAATGGAACACAGGGACAAAAGTTCAGTGGTGTTCATTCCGTCGTGAGTCCGATTTGAGTTCCATGAACTTGATGACCAAAAACCGCTGAACGCATTCGACCAAACAAGATGGCTGCCGCCATGTGTTCGACCATATGAACGGCGACCACCCAGCCGTTCGTCAATTAGCTGCGGTTAACCGCAGCTCCTGGGAGGTAAATGAGGGACACACCATAGGCACAATCCATTCGGTAGTCCTATAGACTGAACTGGGGAAAAAGACACAAACAAAAGTCCTTTCTCCAGTCTGTATCCCAGTCTAATACATGGGCCATAGTCTTGGGGCAAGAGGCTGGCAACCAAGCCCCTCCAAAACCTCGTAGCAAACTCACAGGAAAAGGGGAGTTTGTCACAGGGATTATTTATGATGCATTATTTGATTGATAAACACTCTGTATAATACATTTGTTTAATATAACTACCAATGTGTATGGGCATCATATATTATGAGGATGTATTGCTACAAATCTCATTTACCTCCCATATATCAATATGTTAATATTTGACAATCTACTTTTGTCATACCTATCATATGTCAAAACAAGAAATTCTCCCGGCACTCATACCTACTATATGTGTAAAACATTGTATTTCTCTTTGCAGGACTGCCCAGAGAAATGTTGGCAAGTTTTAAACACCACTTACCCTAGTTATATTCTCCCATAAATGTGCACACACACATGAACTTGCACAAAGCAACAGATTCCCCCACACAAATGTATACTTGAATGCATTCTCATATACAAATACACCTACTATGCATCTCAGACACACCAAGATTCACACTTTCAGACACTTACACTTATACGCACTGCCACACAACATATTGCCAGACACACACACTCCCAATACACTCTAAGGCACACATTTATAGTGAGGCATAGACACCATTTTGATTGCAATAGAGTAGATTCCTTGAGGTCCAGTGGTAAGCAGGCAGGTTCTCAGATGACCCCTCTTTCATGTCTATGCTGCTTTCTGTGTGCTGGGTATTATGACACTGCTGAGAATGGAGATCTTTAATACAGTTTGATCGGGAAAAATATTTTATATCTCCCCAACTGGACCACATTACTAAAGCATCCTTGGGGCTTTTTGTTTGAGCAGTCCAATTACTGCAGCAATACCCTCCCGATGGTGGCCCTGTCTGTTTGTATGTTGCTATTTTAGACCAGTAATGCAAGAGCACAAAGAGAAGACATGACACATAAGAAAACAATTTCCCAGTGCTGGAACAGCCAAGTTCCTCATGAATGGTATACTAACAGGACTGGGAGGCTTCTGTGGCTTGATAAAGGCTCTGATGTGAGCTGAAACAATACATTATCCTTTGAAGGGACACTATAGTCACCAGAACAACTATAGCTTATTGTATTTGTTGTGGTGAGTAGAATCATTCCTGTCAGGCTTTGTGCAGTAGTCTACATTACAGCCTAGTAATAACTCCTCTGGCCACTCCTCAGATGGCTACTAGAGGTGCTTCCTGGGGCAGTGTTGCACAGTGGGCAGCACTGCCATTCAGTGTCTCCACCCTCTGCATGGAGACACTTAGCCCACCATTACGATGTGCCCAGGCACTCCTGGTACGCCCCCTGTGCTCACATATCATGACACCTATTAGATGTTATATTCCTGACTATCCTATTTTGCCACAAAATGCACTCAGGATGCCAGAAAAAGGTACTACTCATTTTCCTCCTGTACAAATATTCATGTTCATATGGACGGTAAGTTATTGTTTCTTTTGTCAGTTATATTACATACATGTGAACTTTGAAGATTAGAAGCCTAACTGCATTTGGGTTCTCATAACCAACCACAGTAGCTGGTAATTTAGTTTGACAGTTTGCATTTAGCCAGCAACTAGTGGACATTTACAGGTCTACCATTTCTGTTATAAAAAAAATGAACACTCAAATACGTTAGAAGTTTTTCTACTTTTTCTCTACAGCCTCCAGTAATTATGTGGGAACACTACCAGTAACTAAGATTCCAGAGAATGTTCTTAAGGAAGAGAGCATTTCAAGCCATAGTTCTAATGTGGAAAATTTTCAGGTGAAATAAACAATATTCCTTATGCTTGCTAGCCGATTTCTTGTAACTTACGCTAGGTTTTGTAGGAAATGTTCTCACATGCTGATAACATTGTGTATCGAGATCAGGACATATATAATGGAACTTCTAAGTAGTATTTCCAATCAACTGTGGAGAGGAAGAACCATTGGAAAGGGGCAATTACAATAAACGTGACACAGCACACCCAAGCACTAACGTTTGCATTTGAAAGGCATTGGCCTTAAATAAATAAATATATTTTACTCCACATACAAATCTGTTTAGTTTTGCTTAAAAATTTTTTCGCAGCTTTCTGCAGCATAACATCTACCACACCTCCCTAAACCAGACATCTTCCTGACTGCAAGTACTTATCTCAGTTGTTAAACGATTAGTGTGAGCTGAGCTTCTGACTTGACTCTGCCCCAAAGCCAATCAATGTATTATGTGCCCTCTTTCTCCTTAGCATGACTTTTAAATTCTATACAAAAATAAGAAGACGGTGACGGGCTGTAGGGTGGAGTCAAGTTAGAAGCTTAGCTCACACGGATCTCTCATTGACCAACTGATTAGTACCAACTGGATGTCAAAAACAATGCTAGTAGCATTTCAAAAGTAATAATAAAAAAAATGAACTGTTGACACTGCCAAAAGAGTTGAGCAGAGAGGTTTTGAGTGAGGAAAGGAAGGGTTCAAGTCTGGATTTACTGGGAGAGAGATACAGTGATCGACAAGTTCCTTCCATTTTTAAAACTTGAAAGATGGCAGTTTATAAGAACACAGTCAAGCACCAGACATTAGGGACAAAAAAAGCTACAGACTGGCAGAGGGCAAAAATTAGTCTCCACTGACAGGGATCACTGTCAACTCAGTTGAATGTCACTCAATAACAATAGGATGACATCAAGTGACCTACCAAACAGAACAGCAAAGGCAAATGAAAGCTGCAGTGAAGTAACTCACGCAGATAGTTCAAAACAGGCTCCTAAGGGCAGGGCTAAATTTGTGCAAAGCTAGGATGAGTAGCAAAGATGAGCCAGTATGAGGTTTGCAAAAGACCATAAAAAACATAATGTTTTCAGCTTTGCCCAACACTTGGTTGTCTAATGGTTAGACAGAGATCTGAATAGGTCTACAAGCCACAGTGTCTTTCACCCATTGTAAATTTGGTGGAGGATTGATAATGATCTGGGGGTGCTTCAGCAAGGCTGGAAATGTTCACATCAATCAAGTCACATATAATATTTTCTTGGAAAAAAACTTGCTTCCTTCTGCTCTATCAGTGTTTCCCCACAGCCAGGTAAATCAAGGATGGAAGACATCCAGATCAATCTCCAAACCTGAAACCCATTGAGAACCTCTGGAATTTGCTATCAAACAAAGCCAGGCTGCATGAATTGTGTGCGCCAAGAGTGACATCAAATCACCCAACAGCAATGTGAAAGACTGGTGGCGAGCATGCCAAGATGCATAAACATCTGATTGAAAATCAGGGTTATTCCGTCAAATATTGATTTCAGAAAAATTTTTGTCAGTAGTTTATAAAATAAAACAAAAATGTCAATTTTATTCTAGCATTTACCTAAAAATAGTAAAACCAGATAAACTGATCATTTTGCAGTGGTCTCCTATTTTTTTCC